GGTTGCTTTCCTCTAGCATCTCAGGACGGCCCTAGGAGATTGCGGTAGAGCTAGAAACAAACTTCCTCTGGGGTTTAAGATGTGAAAATGTGCTGGTGACAGGATACTTTTCCGCACCAGGCCTCCTCAGGGTGGAAAGGGCACCTGGGATGTGTGACACCCTTCTGGCACGTCTGGTGGTAAAAGGTTTTCTCTCCAAGATGGTTTCGATGAGCGTTTCGGAGTTCTCTTCTGCTAAGGCCGTGTGTCTGCAGGGTCGACAAAGGCAGCTTGGGCACAAGGGACAGAGGAGCGTTTGGGTTTGTATCCAAACTGGAGCGACTTCCTCTGCATCTACCCCTTGAACTGAGGCATCTCTTGACTTGTTTTGTTTTGTTTCTGTTTTCCTTGGTGCAGCAGGGCTTGCTTTCTTCACGATGCAAAATGCGCCCGGCGCTCTGCAAATTCAGCTGCCTGGAGTAGCTGGTGGCACGACGTGTAGCCGAGGGCAAACAAACAGGGTTTGTGCTGCTTAATTGGAGGTCGAAATCCCAGTGCATCTGCGTGCCCAAATTAAGCGTGCAGCTTCAGAGAGCGCACAAGGATTTCCCAGCTGGCTTCATTCCTGAACGGAGCCTCCGAGGTAGCACCTGGCTCCGCTGGAATGGAAGGAGCCTTTCTTTTGCAAAAGGGGAGATGCTGGCCTCGCTGCTGCTACTGCATCTTTAGCAGGGCTGGCAGAGAGACCGGCTTGTGCTGTCAGTGGAGCTGTTTGTCTGGCAAGTTACATTACCTTTAGGATTGCTGCTACGCCCTGAAAGAGCTCCTTTTTCATAGATTTTTTACAGAGAGATTGGCAGTGTGTGCACAAGCTACAAGGCCTGCAAATGCAAAGCTTGGCTAACTCCTGCGCTAATTAAAGCATTAAAATTATTAGAGTGGGTTTATTTACTGGACTATTTGACAATTTGTTGAAGCCTTATATTTGGGAAAAGGATTTCATTTATCCATGCAAAAGCTGTAGCATTAATTCACGATCTTGGATTGAGCAGCGTAAGAAGCTGCAATGTCCTTGCCTTCTGCTTTTAAGCTTGGGTGGGCAAGGCATTTTCAAACAGTTTAATTTTAATCAAAATCTGCATAGTGTTTCTGTGCATCGTCCTTGTACCCCTAAAGAAACTCGATCTGTAGCCCGGAACTTTGAAGCAAAGCAGAACGGAAGGAAAAGAAAATGCTCAGAGTATTCGGGGCTTCTGAGCAACCCTGGGAGCTCATTTAAATAAGTGGGCAGCCAGGGACCTGTGCCTTGGGCCGTGGTGCCTTGTCAGGGATTCTGCTCGAATCCTCGGTGGCTGCTTCGAAGCTGGCCCCACCGTTACGGTCGTTAGTGCCTCTGAACAAGGGCCTCCCTCAGAGAGCTCCAGTGGAAGAATCCGCTGCCATCCCAGCGGTGCCTGGCCAAAGAGCCGAGAAACACGGGCAGGGGCTGCTGCTGCCGCCGTTGTGTTTGTGTCCGTGGGGGTGGCAGGGCACCCGATGTGCAGGCGAAGGAAGCAGGTGGCTGCAGGTCACGGGTTGTTGGGATTCAGGGATGCATGGGAATTCAGGGAGCACCTTTTCCAAGCTGGTATCTCCTAGTACCTTTCTACACGGTCCTGTCCCATGCACAAGGGCTTTGGTGCAGACTTGAATCTCCAGTTAACTCTGACTCATAGGGGAATCCTGGAGAAACGTGTGCTCTTAAAGACAATTTTTTTTTTCTAGACTGTGCCTATAGCTGCTGTCTGAACTTGCTTCAGCTGAAGACCTAGTAATTGGAAAAACAAGCTCAGCAGGGATTTATGGCACTGCTGATGATAGAGTGCGAGTAGAGTCTGTCCCTCTTGTTTGGAAGGAAGGAAGGACAAGGGACATTTGGCTCCCAGTTGTTTTGGCACCCTGACAGGAGTCACCTGGACGAGCAGAGAGGCTTTTGGAGGGCTTTCTATTTACGCCTCTCTAGTAGCAGGAGCTAACTGGCTATATTTTCCATTAGTTTAAGGAGGCTGTGCCCTGTCCTGGGTAGGAGGATTTGTTGATGATGTTCAGAGGGCTGAAAGGAAGTCACCAGAAAACGGGCAGCAAAATAAACCTTCTGAATAGCTGCTTGGGTCAGTTCTGTGTTCGTTCCGTGTGTAATTACCATTAACACTAACAGGAATGACGCAGCTTTCTGTTTTAGAGGGAACAGAGAGTCCTTCTGAATTAGAGCCCTTCAACCTGGTGCTTGAAAAGGTACTGAGAGGAAGCCTCAATCCTGGGCACCAATTACTGACCGCTAAAATGGAGTTATCTACTGACCAGCGAGCCACGTGCTCTTGCAGTTTAATTTGGGTTTGGGCTTTGTCGCTTCTGGTTCGCGGAGCTGCTGTGAGCCCGTGGCCAGCTCTGACACCAGGCATGGTGACACTGCAGCGAAAGCGTCACCTGCACCTGAACTGCCTTGGTGCGAGTGCAAAGTCATTGGGCTAATTAGCGGGGACAGCAGCTAAATGGGGCAAACACTGCCTTCTATACAAGGCTTTTACTGCTCTGTTGTCAGAGAATCGTAAAAAGGAATGGCTTGAATTCATTAGAGGGGACCTGCTGAGCTGGACATCTTTTTTTTTAAACTTTGTTCACAACATCAAGTTAAGGATTGAAAGAGTTTGGGGTTTTCTTGTCTTGTTTTGTTTTTATTTTGGTAATAAATTTCAGGAATCCTAACCCTCTCTCTCCCCGCTTCTGCTGGGCAATGCAGTTTCTTTGGGGATCTTTCATATCTGTTCTCCTGCAATAAGAGATGGTGCTGCTGTGAAAGGCTGGAGGCTGATTTGTGCTTTTAGACTTGAGACAAATTTCTCAGAGTCAAAAGCCTGAACAAAATTAGGCCATTAGAAAGATTTGCAAGCAGCCTGCTGTCTACTCAGGTGCTATTAAATCAGAGTTTGTGGCTTGCCGTTCTGAAATTGCATGGAATATTTGAAATGCTAGATGAAATACTAGGAATATTTGCAGCCCCGGATGAAGAGTGAGCATGAAAATGCCCGGCTCTGGGCACGCAGCTGCCTGTCCCTTGTCCCTGTCTCTTGCTGCATCAGCCTGGACTTTTTCCAGCCAGCTCTGCTGCCGGCTCCCAAATTAACCTTGGTGAAGGAGCATTCCCCTCCTTGAACATCACTTCTCTTGTCTGCCCTGGGATGAGGTGGAAAGCACAGGGAAAGGTCTAGGGTCCGCTTTGTCGTTTTTATTGCCCATTCAAATAATGAGACAATTTAGTGATAAAGTATGCTTCATGTTCAAAAAAGTTTGGGGGAAATCAGTTTGTTTTGGCACCAACCAAGCTTTTTTTGCCCCCACCCAAGGTTTTTTTTTTTTTTTTTTTTTTTTTTTTTTTTTTCAGTGTCTGCTGCTTTAAAATGTGTCTGCCTTGGCTGATTTTTATCTTTTGGTTGTTTTTCAGGATGCTGCAGGATGACCTTCAGCTCAGTGATAGTGAAGACAGTGGTGATGATCAAGTCAGTTTTAGCTGTTTTCTACACTGCACCCAAACACATCCCTTTAAGTCATCATGGTCTATTCTGTTGCAGGCTCCTTAAGCTAACCTTTCCCTTCCCTCTCCTCTTTGTTTTTGTGAACAAAACAGGTTGTTGCAAAGCCGCCTGCTTCATTGGCTCCTCCAAGGTACAGGTTTGTTCCAAAACTCTTAGCTAGACTGAATAAGGGAAAACAAAACTGCCTTTTTTATGGAGTACATGGGGGAAAGGTGCCTTGCTCCTGTAGTAGGTAGAAGCTTTGGTTTCTAGCTGCCTGACGTTTCCATTGGAAGTCAGCTTCATTTGTGTGGGGTTTTGCTGAAACCTGTTTTACTGCAGGGGGTTACTGAAATAAATGAACATGCTGCATTTTGCCTCTGAACCAGAAGCTATTGCTCCAGCTGTTCCCTTGTTTTCCCTGCTCCCCCTTTCTCCTCCCCAGTGTCTATGCAGGTTGCACTGGAGCTGGTGGGATGCTTAGTTATCATAGGGATGTCCAACGTGAGTCCAGCTTTAAATCAAGAGAAGCCAGAAACATTCACAAAGGTGAAGAACAGGGAGCAGGGGAAAGGACTAGCTAGAGTCATTCATTTCAGCTTCTCCTGGTATTCAGGGGCTTATATATAGTGTCTGCCATGTATGGTTAGTCAGCAGTAATATTCAAGGTTAGGCTGAGCAGGCATGAACCCAGATGAGAGAGCAAGGGGTGGAGAAGCTCAAAATGTCTTCTAGAGAAGAGCACTTAAACACAGAGCACATTTTTGGCTTGGTAACTGTATTCTTCAAGCACAGGCTAATAGTCCACAAAGTCAGGCTTGCTTCCTGGCAGCATCCATTGCCTCTGGCAAAGCTCTTGGAATAGTGTTCTGGCAGCATGAGTCGGGATGAGCAGGGAACGTGCCTTCCTGTCTTGCAAACACGGGGACATTGACATGGAAAGCAGCTTTCAAAATCAGAAATCAACATTTTGACCTAAGCCCATTACAAAAATAAATATCTGAGTAAAATTGTACTTATACACAGTTACAACTCTGCCTCATTTTCACACAGTTTGTCAGTGTATCAGGAAAGACTTTTGAGTAAGGATGGGCGTAGCAAAAAGTGCTGCTGCTCGGGAGGGCAGTTGATGAACTGTTACAGACCCTTGCCAGGAAGCATGGCTGAGGAAGTGAGAATTTAAAGGGGAAAGTACAATAAAGAGGATTTTATGCTTCTCTCCTGTTAATATTTGTTTGGTATTTTTTCTTTCGTGAGTTAGGCTTTCAGAAAAGCACTTGTCGCTTTTTAAAATTGTTTTTGGCTGAATGCAATGTCATACTGCAGCAGTGCTGCAGTTTATGCAGTTGTGTTAAACTGCTTGCTTATTCATCAGCTTGGGTTGGAGGTGAAGGTCATATTTCCAGGGTTTTTTTTTTTGTTATGGTGCTTTATCTTTGAATATGGCATTGTGTTCCTTTGGCCTTCTCCCCTTTCCTCCCAGAGCCAAACCGCGGGGATTCAGATTTATTTCTCGCTCCTGCCATGTCAATGTCACAAATACGCAACCCTCACCCGAGCTGCTTTCTAATTTTATCTCCCGCTGGCCTTGCAGTGCCCCGCAGTCGCAGCCGCAGAGTGTGGCATCAGCACATTCCAGCAGCGCGGCGTCCGGGAGCACCAGCGACTCGGACAGCTCGTCGGACTCGGAGACGGAGAGCAGCTCCAGCGACAGCGACGCCCCCGACCCTCCGAGGCCGTCGGCACCCGAGGTGAAGGCAGATAAAGTGCACAGGCTGCTTTAATGCCTCAGGCCTCCCGCCGGCTGGATGTGGCTGGAGGGGAGACCTGAAATGGTGTCATCAGTGAGGTGTCCCCGTCGAGGCTTTGCTGCTTCAGCAAACGTCTCTTGTCCTCTGCTTCACTGGTCGAGTTAGTAACTGTGTAATTAGGCCTTTTTTAGGAAGTGTTCTCCCATATCCTTTGGCATTCCTGCAGGAATTAGCGCCTTCCCTGGCAAGGCGCACGAGCGAGGTGCAGTGAGCAGCCCAGCTTGTCGTGTGTTGAGGACCCACCTGCAGGTTTCCTCAGTGCCAAGGGCTGCTCCCGGGTGAGACCGTTTTCCTGCTCTCTGAAGTGAAGCTGCTGCCTCCCTGCAGCTCCGGTGTGTGACTGACAAGTTAAGCTTCTCTCAGATCCCAGCTGAAGTGATCAGACCTGCAGCAAGGGCTGGAATGTGCTTAGACTTGCTTCTGTTGAGTTTGGCTCCGATACTGCTGCACTAGCATTTCTGAGGTTTTTATTGGGAAAAGCAGACAAACAGAACATAGTGCTTCAAAGTTTCATAATTGAGACCATGCATTTTTTGAAAAATCTGCTGCAGAAATGTTCCTGTCCCATGGTGTGAAACAGATCCTCCAATGGCAAAGCATCCGCAGGCCAGTACAAACTGCACAGTTGTACCCTGTGGACTGCAGCTAATGTAAACTAATCCACAACACGTTTGAGAGATTCTCACGAAGCCCAGAAACCTCCTCATTTTATCCTCCTTCCCCAGCCACTTTTCCTTCCTTTTAACTTAGGATCACATGAGCAGGGAGACTTATATGTGCAGAAAACATGGCAAAAGGTTTGAGAAGACATTGAGAACAAAATATTGAGAAAATACATCTTCGTCTCTCATCTCATACACTTCAACATCCCACAGTTCAGCTACAGATTTTGTCTTCCACAATAAGAGTGTCTTGGGAAAGAAACATGTTAAACTTTTCCCTTTCAGTTCTTTGCAGACAGTAGCAAAGACTTTGAGACCTATGGACAGTAGCTCCTTTTTCAGCATTGTCTCTTACTTCACTTGGTGTTCAGAAAATCTAATGAAAACTTATATAAAAGTGTGGACCACAAACAAGATAAATGATAGCAGGAGAAATGTTAGGAAAGGATAAATAAAACTGCATTTTATTAAGTTATTTGGGCATGTTATTAGCTCTTAACAAAGGAAAAAAATGTTCCCGAGTTGCTAACAAGTTAAAATTTTCCTGAAAACAAGGCATATTTTTCACCTGAAAACAACATGGGATTTGTGGGTTAATTTTACCATAGTAAAACTAAACGCTGTTTTTCAAACCAGGTTCCCAGCTTAGATCACCCAAACCCAGTTAAGCACATGCTTTTTTGGTCCTGAAGATGGGCCTTGTTTACCAACATGTTCCACAGTGCAAGGCAGAGTTGGCTCTGGATGGAGAAGGAAATCAAGGCAGAAGGAATTAAGAAGTCTTGCAAACCTTTAATGCACTCCTAGGCTTTCTCTTCTCTGGGGCTCAGAGTTGTGGCTGGAGAGAATGGGCAAGGGTGGGAGGGCAATGATGCTCTGATGATTCCCTGATAGCGGGATGAGCGTTTGAGCGATGCTGACCAGTCTGCGAGTTTTGAGAACCGACCTGAGGCTAAAGCCCAGGATTGCAGTGTCTGAGGTCTGTTCCAGGGTTTGTTGGGTTTGCTGTTTCCCTAACTCGTTAGGCAGGGCTTCTAGCAACTGGTTTCAATCTCTGGCTGTGATTCCAGAGGCCTTCAAAAATTGATCATATCTTGATCCCTAGGCAAGCGAGTGTTGGGTTGCTTGGGCAGACAACTCTGGAGGAGCCAGACCTGGGGTGTTAGTTGTATCATTTCTTTTGGTATCTGCTTAAATCACCGGAGCCCGATGGCCTACCTGTTGGACTTGGAGAAGCTGTGACAGTTGGGACAGCTGCGAGCTCAGTTTTGAGAGGAGTGCTCTGCGAGGATGATTTTCCAAAAGAATCACGAGGACAGCAGCTAGTTCCATTTTTGCTGTGGGTTTTATGCAATTTTTTTCCAACTGTGCGTTGATGTTTCTTTCTGGGGCAGAGCAAAGCAGGACCAAGCTCTCGTATATACTGGTCTCTCACCGGGCTAACAGAGAGACAGGGATTGCGTGACGTGTTTGACAGATTTTGTGCAAAAATGAGGCGTGTTTCAGACTTATGTGTTTGTTTGTCCCCACTGTGTTATTCCCAGGGATACCCATTCTCAGAGTCTTTCACTTTTGAGGCGTTTTAACAATAAGGAAAACTTTCCTGGGTTCTGGTAACCTCTGGTAGGCTCAAAATAACTCACAGAGATGTCAGTCTTACACCCTTCCTTTCTCTTTTTGCCTGTAGCCTGATCCCCCAACATCGAGGAGAACAAGGAGCAGGGAAAGATCATCAGCAGCAACTCCTCTCATGAGCGGCCCGGTCTGAAGGAGCCTCATCCCAGGAACTCCAGCCGAGCGGCCAGGGCTGCGCAGGATGCTCATCTCCCGAGCAAGCGAAGCTGCCACAAGTCGCCCGTGCGTAGCGAGGAGCCCTCGCAGAGGCACATGGTTGGGATCAAAAGGCCCAGCAAGGTCCCTGTGCGTGAGGGGCCTGAGGGAGGCCTGAAGGTGGAGGGTGAACCTGGTCCATATGAGGTCAAGGACCAGTTTTCCAGAGACAAGCCAAAAGTAAAAACGAAAGGGAGGCCCAGATCCAAGGATAAAAAGGAATGGAAACCAACGTCGCAGGAGCCCTCTGAGAACAGAAAGCACAAGAGCTCACATCAGACCAGCTCCAAGGCCCTCCTGGACCCTAAGCCTGTGAGAGATGCCCTGGTTGGCAGTGCCCAAGAGCACCTCTGTGTCAACCCCCTCACCCAAAGCCAGGGCACGACGCCCACCAGGACTAGCAGCAGTAAGGCCGCTCTTGCGGTCAGGGAGGATTTCCACAAAGACAAGTTTCTCTCGCCTGTTAGGGAGAAGTTGTTATCGCCTGTGAGGGACTTCCCAATCCCGCACACCCTCGTGGTGAAAATTGAGCTCGCCCTCCTGTCGAGGATTCCTCAGCCTCCCGGGAAAGGCAGTCACCAGAAAAAAGCAGAGACTAAAGAGCTCCTGGGTGCAAGGAGGCAGGACTTGGAGAGGAAAAGCACAGACCTTCCTGAGAAGTCCTTCAAAAAGAGGAAGGTGAGAGGGGAACGGCGAGAAGTGGGAGTTTTGCAAGGGCCGACGTGGGGTTTGGTGAATGTGGAGCTGCTGAAAAACTAACATTTAGCTGTAGAAGCTCAGTCCGAGTACCAGAGTCTCTTCCTGCAGGAAAACATTTATTTCAGTTAACGATGGCAATTGCTTAGTGCAAACTTTGTGAATATTAGATATGATGCTAGCAGCCTCGTGCCCTTTGGTTCTCATTCAGTGCAGCCTTTTGACTGAGCATGACTTCCTGGTGATAGAAACGATGGCTAAACCCTGCCTGCATCTCGGTGCTGGCATCAATATATAGAAAGCTGCTTTGGTTTCTGCAGGAGCTGCTGTGGAGCTAGCAGAGATGCTCATGCTTAAAGCTATGTCTGTGCCCAACAGAGGGCTTTCCAGAGGTCCTTTAAGAGTCCTATAATAGCAACATTCCCTTGAATTATAAGACAACCCCTTCTTCATGGGGCACAGGAGCTTTTCCTGTGTGGTGTTTTTGGAAGCCAGCTCTCAAATAGCAAATCTAGTCCCAGGTGCCTGGTTCGCTCGTGCAGACCGTTCCTTGCAGGACTTGTGATGGATAGTTGGGATGCAGGTTCATCCCTGCGGGTATGTCAGGACCCATATGCCTTTCTGGTTCTCCTTCGAGGAGTAAGAGGCCTATGTTTAGTGGGAGGATAACCATGATTGTGGGGCTGCTTTTATTAAACCTTGAGAGGTGATTGAACAGCTCAGCTCCTTCTTACAGTTTTTGTCTTGTCGTAAATGATAGGGAAATTTTTCACTCAGGCGAGCTGATGGTTTGGCAATACGTGCTTTGCACTGTAAGATCTATGGAGTGTGCTGAAATAGGGTTATTTATTGCCACTCTGCCTCGGTGGCTCTTAGCCTTCCAGAGGACAGCATATAGGCAGCAATTTTAACTGACTTGCTAAAATTTCACCCCATATCTGGTTCTTGTTAATAAAAAAAAAAAATGAAAAACAAGCCCACAAAGAAAAACCACCCGTTTGGGGAAACTGTGAGCGGTTTAATGTTAGTGAATGCTGCTTTTTCCCTTCCTTTTGGCAAACAGTGCGAATCACAGAACACAATTGCTTGCCACCCCTGCCTTTGCCAGAAGGGATTTTAATACGTTTCAGCCTTCTGTATGATTCATGCTCACTGGGGAAAAGAAAAAAAGTACAAGAAAAAAAACAACAATAAAAGCACCAAGAGCAGAAAAAGACATGTTTAGTCTCAGGAATGCAAGTGTGATTATTTTGGACACCTAGCAGGGAGAGATTTAGCAATTTTCTTTCATTCCAGTACAAAATAATTAATGTACCTGAGCAAAATTACATAAAATATCATTTTAGGATACTTGCAGGTGAACCTGAAATATATATCCAAAGTGCTATGGGTTTCTACTTTGTCGGTTTTGACATCTTTTGATTTCTTTTAACGTGAATCCATCACACTTAGTTGGTCTGTACTTTATATGAACTTGCACAGACTAAGTGTTCTTATTTTGCTTTTTTGTTTTGTTTTTGATAGAGAGAAATGGAGAAAGAGATTGATAGGAAGAAGATGAAATCGGACAAAGAAACCAAATCATTGCAGTCTTCAACTCACAAAGACTCCAGTAAATTGAAGTGAGTATCCAGCAATGGGATGCCAGAAAGACGCATGGAAGTGAGCCTTGGGATCAAAAGCATAAGAAACTGTATCTTCTTTTCTTGTTATGCTTGTGAGTTTGCTTTGTGTAAAGTGCTCCTGTGAATCTTAATCTGCTGCAAATTTATCTTTAGACATGTGGTTCCTGGGTGTGATGAGATGTAATTTATTTGCCACTTGTATTTGCCGCAGATGTGCAATTACGTGTGGTATCACCTACTCTCTTCTCCCCTTCCTATGCTAGGGGTTTCTGTTTTAATTGCTTGAGCTGAGGTTTTAGCATCTTGTCCTCCCCCCTACTTGTTTTACACTTCTATAAAACTCCTTAATGTGGTGGCATTTGTCCTTCCTTACGATAGTTGATACCAGAATGAAGACCTGATCATTTCAAACCCAAGCTTGTGCATCCTGCAGTTCAGGTTGCTGCGTGCTCTGGTCTGCACATTACACGTAGCTCAGGAAATCTTTTTGCATTGCAAGAAGTGTCATTGCCAGCTCAGCGCCCGGTGCCTTGCCATGCTGGGATGTAGTAGTTGCTTCTCCATCTTTAAACTGCAGTGTTACTCTGCTGTCAGTTGTCCTACTTGCCTTAGATTATCTAGGAGGGGACAGCAGCTTTGCTAAGGGAGCGGTGTTTGCTTGTTTTGCACAAGAGTTTAGGGATTCAAGGGGGTGGCAGGAGAATCCTTGTACCGTGAACACGATGCACGTGGGGGACCGAGCTGTGTGCCCAGACTCCCGTTGCAAGCAGACGATCGGGCTGATCTTGAAGCTCCGACTCTTCTTCCTGTCACCAACAGAGCAATACTGTACGTGGCAGAAGAAATTCTGGCAGCCTCTTCCCTTTCCTGTGTGGAGAAAAATACTGTGCTAAGTGCGGCTAGATGTCTGTAAACTTTGGTGTGGTGATGATGACTGTTTTGTTAATTGGAAAGAGCAGGCTGAGAAAAAATACGTGGGGGGTTAATGCTTCTTCCGTCTGCTCCATCGGCTGCTTTTGCGTTTGCTGGTACCCGGCTTTGAACAGCACTTAACCTGCTGGCTGCAGGTAACCAGATGGTGCCTGTGCTGGGTGGACACATCTTCTCCTACCTGAGACCACAGGGCTGGGTGTGATGGATATTGCAGAGCTCCGTTTTGTCGCCTCTTGCAGCACAAAACTGCTGAGCAGAGCCGGGCTGGGCTGCCTCAGAAGCCCACGGGCACAGGCAGCTCTCCCTTGCTCTAACCAAGCCCAGATGCTGCTGCACTAAGTGGCTCTCCACTGTGCCTGGTGACATGGGTAAGGGTGAGCTGTGCAAAGCCCAGTGCAGAAAATGGACTTAGGTACCCGAGTGCAGAAGGGGAGGGAGCATTTCCCTCTTCCACTGAAATCTACGTATGGCCTTTTTTCTTTTTTGTGACTGAAGGGACCCAGGTTCAGCGTTTGCATCTTGAATCTTGATTTTTTGGTCTGGAACTTGAGCTGGGCTTTATGGCCAGAAGTTTCTCGTTTACTCCCGCATGGCATATACAGCACATGCGGTTGGTCTGCCAAAGCCTTCCCCAGAGCTGGCAGACCAAGAGCTGATGTTTCCACGGGCACCCTTCGAAACAGGCCGTGCTCCTCAGAGGGGCGTCCGCTGCGTCGGGCTGGGGCTTGTGGCGGCGCTTCCCCTTTATTTGCGGGCGGAATTCTAGGTGTTGACCTGCATCCATGGTGATGATGGAAGAGTCTTGATCCTGGAATTCAAGGGCCCCTCTTAAACACGGTCCGGTTTTCATCGTGGATAGAGTAGGGTGCATTTGGGGGGAAGAGAGAGCTCTGGCTCTGGGTGGTTGCAGCAGGACTGGGGCTGCTGCTCCGGGCAGGATCTCTCAGCTGCAGGAGGTAGAGAGCCCGGGGAGCAGGTGCCCAGCGCCAAGGGACATCGTGTGAGGATCTGCGTCTGCTCCAGCATGTCTCACAGCAGGAACTCTTCTCCTGATGAAGGGTTAGCACTGTCTTTTCGTCTTTTTCCTTTCTTTGACTTTCTGGGAGTGGGGTGTTGTGCAGCTACATGCACAGGGTTAATAAATACACCCTGCTGCCTGGTTGGCACTGCCCCCTGGGCAGCAGGACTAAGCCAGCTGTGCAGCACTGTGCTCCAGCCTCTGCCCGTGATTGGATTCAACGCGTCCCTCTCCTGGTGTTGCAGTCTGTGAATTGGGATTCACTGCTCTAGATGTATTGTATTTTCTCGGAAATTTCAAGAAGCCAAAAAGAAGTGTTGTAAATGACTACTGAAATAAGCTTTATAGTTGTTGGGTGCTCCGTATAGCTACTATAGTCCTAGATATATAGATCCGGTAGATAATCCTAACCTTAGATGATCAGAAATCTGGGATTGCCAAAGTGCTAGTAAACGTGGCGGGCCCTGCCATTGAGAAGCACAGCATTGTAAGTCTCTCTGCCTTGAATCCTCAGAACTTTTTTTGCCTGTTGGCTTATTTAGTTGACAACTCTCAAAGCAACAAAGGAAGCCTCAGATTAATTCTCTCAAAGCTGGGGTCCAGTTTCAGGATAAGCCTCTCTGAACAGAGAGAAGTGCCTTATACTATAGAGACAGAGGCAGTGCTGCAGTTAACTTGCCTCTAATATCTGATTTGTGCTGCTGGGAGATCTGTCCCAGATGTTCCGGTCCCTGTAATTCTCTCTTTTCCTCTTTCAGTAGAAAGGGATTGTGTTGGAGGGCTAGCTCTTCTGCAACATCCAAACAACCTAGCTACATGTTGTTCCTTTAAAGGCTTATTAGATTGGCACGTGACTAAACATCATATATGTGTACATCATATTCATCCCGTGTGATATATTTGCTTCCCATGCGCAGAGTATCAAAAACTTCAGTGGACATCCAGAAGAAAGATGTCCTGCTGCCCCCACCACTGCCACCCCCGGCTTCTGCACATCCTGCGCCAAAGCCAACCAAGATGGCCCAGAAGAGGCCCAGATGTGAGAGCAGCGAGCAGCCTGCCCCAGACCCCACTGCCAGGAACAAGAGCAGCCCCAAGGATCCTTTGTCCTCCAAGCACAGAAAAGTGGACAAAAAGTATCCAGAACAGCCTAAGAGCAACAAAGTAGGTAGCAGTTACTACTGGGAGGGTATTTCCTGACTGGATGCTGCTGAAGGTGTGACATGATGGTGTCTTTCCAAATAGTAAAGTAATAAAAATACATACTTAGCACTTAAATACTTTACTCACTTAAAAGTAAGTGAAGTATTAAAAATAAGTGTCCTTACTAAAAGGAGGAGTCGATCAGTTAAAAATAAGAAGTAACAGCCCCTACTTGTGACCATAACCTCATACAGTTTATATGGCTTGCTTACTCAGTTACTGCTAATGAGCCTTGCAGTCGTTTTTTTTACATTATTGGTTTATAAAATGCAGTTATATTGCTATTTGTTGGTTCCTCAATGTACGTGGCCTAGGACAGAGGTTTCTGAAGGGAGACCGTGACTGCTGCATTAGCTGGCTTCTTACTACTTTCCTTTTCCTGGAATTCTAGTCGCTAGCGCAGAATTGTCCATGGCTGTCTGTTTAAGCTGGAGATAGGTGTGAATGGAGGTTGCTAGTTCCTGTCTTGGCTAGTGGCCAGGAAAAAAAAAACTGTTAACAGGCTTAGGGTTTCCTTGGCCATTGTGCAAGGAAACCTGCTACTTAATTTCTCCGCACTGGGGAGAAGTTTGAATTGTGTTAAGCCTTGCTAGCAAGTAGATAGGAAGCCAAGTTTCCACTTGCTGGATGTGGGGAGGGTTGAGGAAGTAGGAAGGAGGAGGAGTGTGGAGAATGGGCAATGCCTGAGACAAATGAGTGTTTTCCCCTAGAATTTAGGAAAGTGGAGCTTTAGGCCTGTTCTTGGTGCTCTGTGACCAGTTTCTCCCTTATACCATGATTTTTTTTCCAGGAATCTGCAGGGGATGTCACAAATCCTTTCCCAGTGCCTTCTTTGCCAAATGGTACCTCCCAGACAAGGAGACCTCAAGTCAAGTTTGAAAAGTAAGTTCTCATTTTATGCTCCTTCTGGGTTCCTTCAGAAGACACAGAGGCAGGGCTGGCCCTGCAGCCCCTGCTTCTCAGAGGGGACTTGTCTAATTAGAACCAAAGAGGGAGACGTCTGGGCCTGCTCTCATGCCTGCGGCTTCCCCTGTTGTATCTCCTGGCTGGCTGATCTCGGTTCTCATGATGACGTCTGTCCCCCGTGGCGGGCTTGACCCTCCACACGGCGCCCACAGCGACGTGGAGGTCTCCTGCTGCAGCAGTTCTTGGTTGAGGGAAGCTATTGGAGAAGTTAGGTACTTTTTAACTGAATGTTATCCCTCTGAGAGGCTCTCTGTGCTTGCCTGCAAGGAGGGATCTGATTTCTGTGATTCTTGCCCCTTGACAAACTCCTCTGTGACAAGGTGCTGGGCAAGTGACCGGCTTCTTGGGATAGAGAGAGGGCAGGACTCTTAGCTTACTTTCTCAGTACACAGGCAGTTTTGGGTGGAATAAGTTACACCAGCTTTATCAATTGCATACTGATTGAGAGAAGGATTTGTAGAAGCTTTTGCCTTGCTGGCAGTCTCTCTCATACACAGATGACTCGAATGTAAACTCTTTTGGTCCAATTGGTGTATGGTGTACTGCAAAGTGTACATATGTGTACATATATGATGCATTTCAATCCAAATCTGTTTGCAGTATTGTATTTGAGGAACGCTAGGAGATTTCCGTAACTGCCATCCCACCATGAGAGTAAAGAAATAAACTTGGCCTCATAGAAGCCAAACATAGTTTCTTTTAATGTCCAGATGTAAGTTTTCAATGTTTTTATAAAATGGGAGTTTTGAAAATCTGTTTATGTCAATACTGTGAATCACAGCATCCTCTAGATCTGAAGGTAAAATTGGTACTTACCCTGCCCTGCTTTTGTCTGTGTTTTTCTTCTCCCAGTCCCCAATTCAGACACCATCCGATAGAACATTACATCGAAGAAGCCAAGAGGCTGAAGCACAAAGCTGATGCTATGGTAAGTCTGGGCTCTGTGCTAAGTTAAGCAGTTCTTACATTGAGATCTACTTCCTATCTGTGTGTGTGAACAAGATGTGGTGGTAGCATTATTTCCACTAATGGATTTCGTTCAAATCATATGTGTCTGTGTGTGTTGTAAAAATGGAAATAATTTCATAGAGTCACAGAACAGTTGAGGATGGAAGAGACCTCTAGATTCATAAATTCTTTTTATAATTTCTTTCTCACTCTAAGGGACAATTGCTGTGTTTTCCTCCCAATTCTTGGACAGATTTCAAACCTAATGAAAGCTAGTGAGAGAGAGATGGACGAAACCTAATGAAAGCTAGTGAGAGAGAGGGAGAGATGGACAAAGGGGAGTTAGCAGTTTTTACTGCAGGATACATTTTTGAGGAGTTGATAAGTTGGTCTGCTCTACAAATGTCACTTGGTGAGGACAGAAAATACTGTAGCAGGATGGTCCTGTCTGTCATATTTCCTAAAGAGAAGCCTGTAGGCTGAGACGTTCAAGGGTGGCAATTGAAGCACAAGAGCTGTGGAGCAGTCATGGCTGCCTTGCCTGGGAGAAGAGATACCATTTGGAGGCCTGACTTGTATCTTTTCCTTTCTTCAAGTTCTGCCTCTCTTGGGAGAGAAAAAGATTTCAAGTTCCCTGAGATAAATGTCTTGGTCTAAAAATAAGCTTTTACTCCCAACAGACCGACAAGATTGGAAAGGCCTTTCAGTACTTGGATGCTGCACTTGCCTTCATTGAATACGGGATTGCCATAGAATCGGATGCAGCAGCCCCCAAATCAGCTTACAGCATCTTTGCTGACACCATGGATCTCATCAAGTAAGTGACTCCAGAAGCTGCGTGGCACGTTTGGAGGGGCAGGGCTGGTCATGTTTGGTTGTGACTGTGGCAGCTGGGGATTCCTACAATGGAGCAGAGTTCTGGTTGCTGCCCACGCACAGGACAGACAGACCATCCAAAGACACCACAACAGAGTCTTTTGAGGCATCTCAGTGTCGTTTATCACCAGAATGAGGTACCGCGTGCGGCTCAGGTGCCACAAGCCTTGTAGCTGACGTACACCAGTGAATGCTGGACAAGACGTTCAAGGGCACAAATGAGCTTTGTCCTTATTACATTGAGAAAGTGAAGTATTTGGAGAATCCTCAGGAACTCAGTTCAAGACCTAAGATTCAGGTCGGGTGTCCTGAGTTTTGGGCTGCTGGCACACACTGTGTCGTAAACTAGTGGGACTTCAGAGCCCTGGTAGCTGACAAGGTTCTCATAATTTTGTTTCCTTAGGTTCATAATGACATTGAAACCCTTTATGGACTCTTCAGCATCTTCACATGAAAAAATCTTTGCCGTGTTATGGTGCGTAACTGCTTTTCTATGCCTTCATATTCTGTTTTTGGACTTGTTGGATTGTAAGACTTTCGGGGTGGAGTGAGTTAAATGGGAATCCAAATTTTGCAAGGAAACAAAATGATACAAAAAACACAGAGTAGACAGAAACATCTCTAAGCTGAGCTGTGCTATCACAAGGGACCGTACATGGAAGGCAAAGGCTCTAAAATTTCATCTGCTGGTAACTTGAGAATGCACCAGGGCTTCCAGCTAATGTGAAAGAATGCAATTTGGCCGCCTGTGTTTGAGCTGTGCAGCAGAAGCTGCAACTGAGCCTGAGCTCAGGCACTTCTGGACGAGGCCACACTAGGCCCGTGGCCCCTATAAGAGGCTGGGCACCTGTTTCTGCAAAATAGCAGACGTGACTCTTCTGCTGTTTTTTCCCTCATGTGTATTTTATTTTTCCCAGTCTTTTTATGGAGGAGGAGAACGCTTGGGCTTTCTTCACTTGGAAATGAAGCTGGGACGTTGCTTGCCCTTCCTGGGCGACCTCGTACCCCTCCAGCAGGCAGCAGGGGAGTACGAGCACTGACTCTCTGGTCTTTTCGTTCCCAGCATGCGCTGCCAGTCCGTTCTGCACATGGCCATGTTCCGTTACAAAAAGGACACTGCAGTAAAGTATTCCAGGATCCTCAATGACCACTTCAAGGTAGGGCATGTTAGACTGCCAGCTTTACAATGGGCTAGTGGTCGTCAAACCCGAATATAACAATTTGCTTCTTTGCTGCAGAGTTCTTCCAGAGTAACACAAGCACCTTCTCCATGTGTTGCAAGGTAAGATTTAAAAGTAGGTAGGTTGCAGTATGTCCAGAAAGCTGTAAGCAAAAGCAGTAGCCAGAGTAATTGAGTTACAAGTTGTACTCAAGTGCTTCAGCTCTCGCTTCGCTGTCATCTCCATTTGAGAGAGTCATTTTTGTTACAAGAGGCAGAGGCTTCCTGCATATCATGCAGAGTTGTTCTCCAGCAACGAAGCAGGCTCAGAGGACATGGGAGCATCTTGTCCATGTGCTGCTCTGAGAACTCCCATGGTTTTCATCCTTGTTCTGTTTGTATCTCAGATTCATGGAGACTTAATGGAATTTTGTCCCCATGGGGCTTGTAAGTGTATCCCCATCTCCCTGGCCTCTGTCCTGCATGAAGATGCCTTTACAGTGTGGTAGCATAACTTGAAAATGACATTGCAGTATTTTTCCACTAGCCAGACATTTTTAAATGTCTTTTACTAAGCTAATTACTGAAAAAATTGTCATTTTTTTGGTGTATCTGCAACAGTGTTGCTGCATATGTGACAGCAAAAGTAAAAGGAACATTTGAGTAACTTAGAATTAGGCAAGTAATGAAAGGAAGCCAGCCTGTGCCCAGAGGATGGGTGAGCAGGGCACATGCAGCTTTCCCAGTTCCGTGAATAAATCTGCCTAAGCCGACCCGACTAATTGAGTATCTTTCAGCAAGTTCAGGGCAACTTAAGCATGCCCGAAAGGGAATTAGTTTGGCAAACTAGTTAGGCAATGTGGGTAAGACTTTCACAAGTAATTAGAGATTTTGTGGAATTTTCTGAGGCCTTGTCCCTCTCTCGGTCGCAAGAGAGGTCTTTAGAGTTGCAAATGGCTTGAAAAATTGTGGCCTTGCACCCCAGGGTGAGTGGTGTGTTGTATAGCTGAACACACATTTGTTTCCTGCACTCCACAGCGCTGACCCCGGGTAGCTCTGGGCACGCGTTCCTCCCGCGGTGACACCAGGTGCTTCTCTCCTGCAGGAGCACTGGGACGCCTTCTCCTCTCTCTCCAATGCCCTCTCCTGCCAGCTCGGGGAGTTCGCAGCCGGGATCAAATGCCAGCAGCTGTGGGGGCAGCAGCATTGGCTCTTCAGTCAGCGTCCCCTGTAATATCCCAATCATCACTTCCTCCTATGTCAACATCACTTCCTATGTCCTCTATGCGTATGATATTTGGGAACACGCCGATGCCCTGGCCAGGAGGAATAAAGGTAAGGGTTTCCCCTTGGCTTCCCTGTCCTAGTGTGATGTGCTGGAATGTACGGCCTTGCTTAAATCCTAACATTCAGCTAAGCAAACACCTAAATATCACAGTCTTGAATATGCTGAAGTAACCAAGAGAGCTCTGGCATATCGGCGGGATATTTTATGGTGGCATTTCCAGTGAAACGGCTGTCTTGGCCTGCTCGGGCAACCCAGAGCTGAAGGACAAGAGTATCGAGTGACGGAAAGAACCCAGTTCACTTTGTGGTAACATTAGAAGGGGCTTTTTTTTTTAATGTTTGTTTTTTCCTTCTGGGGAGGGCTTGTGTTTCCTGAGTTGGTTCCCTTTCTTTACAAACACTTTATGGGCTGTGTTTCATTTGATTTGTCAGTGTTTTTGTTTTCACAGCTGTGCAGCTGGCTTCCCTCCTTGGGAGAGGGAGGAGGGGAGCAGCGCTTGGCTGGGAGTCCCTGCTGGGCACGTGACAAGCGTTTGCCAGTAGCATTTCCTAGAATTGCTGCTTTCTTTAGGGCTTTGTTGGTAAAAATGTTGTTCAGGCGTCACGTGGTGAATAAGCAAAAGCCCTCAGAACGGTGTAGTGCAGACTAGAGAGTGCTGTCCCACCTGAAGTTCTACTGTCACTTTGCAGAAAAGGTGAAGTTTTTTGAACAGATGAATTTCCATGACAAACTCAAAAAATCAGTGTGATGGGCCTGCCTAAGTTGCTGGAAGGCAACTTGGGCTGAAACTCAGCTTTTGCAAGCCACTTTTGAATAGAGTTTGGTGGCTTTCCTTGGAGCCAACTCGTGCTCGCAGCAGCCGGGAACGCACAGTATTTTGGATCGCATCCTCCAGAGGCTGGTTACGGACTGACAAATGGAAGGACCAGCATATGTTGCTGATATGCCAGAAAGTGAATGAGTCACCAAGGAAAACCCGTGGGAGGGCAGCCCAAGAGCAGTCTTGCTTGGGGCCAGCCTGAACTCCAAGCCTGCTCTGTGTTGTTTTTAACATGGGTGAATGATTACTAGGGGAGTCCGTATTCCCAAAGGATGATATCTGTGCAGGAAATCAGTAAATATCCATATAGAGTTAGCAGTTGTTTTGACTGTTTGGGTTGGCATAGGGATTTCGGATCTGGAGCTTCAAGATAGTCAGTATAATGTACAGATATCAAAAGAGATGGGGAGGGAATACATAAAACTAGCAGGCCCCATCCTTGACGCTTGGACGCTTTTCGCTGCGCGTGAACAGAGAAGTGACAGCAGCTTTGGGCCATCGTGTTCCCTTACGCGGGGAAGTCCCAAGGTAGTGAAGCCCAGTGGGTTATAATGGTTTCTGAGTCACTTCGGAGTCCCCCGGATTTTTTGCACGCTTGCTGTGAAATGTTAATTTTTTAACGCGAGGAGGTTGGATTTGCACGTGTGCAAGGGCTTCATCTTGTACATGCCGCCTCTTGCGGGTTTGTTACCCTGCTCGGCCTGCTCAGATCGATGCTCTTTCCCACTAACACCTTTACTGAGACTCCCTTGCCGCGAGCGTGGAGCGCTCGTTTCTCTCTGTTGTGCTTGGGTCTTTCAGGCATTGTGGAAAAAAGCAACCCAATGTTTTCTTTCTGCCTCCCCTTTTTCTAGATTTTTTTGATGAACTCAGCACAGCGGTGTGCGCTCTGGCACTGAACAGCAGCCTGGCCGAACTGGTACACTACACTAGACAGGGTTTACAGTGGCTGAGACTGGAAACAAATACGCCTTAAGTGGTGCTCAAGGTGGTGAAATGCCTTGAACTCTTTTGCACTTTGGAAGCCTCAGCGATGGTCCAGCTTGCTGAATCATTAGACACAAAGCACCTGAGAAGGAAAAGGAATGGAGACGGAAGGGATCTGGTTACACTGGAAAAAAAAAACTGCGTTTTTTAGGGTGGCGCTTTGCTGCCTCGAAAAACATGAGCTGGAGGAAGGCCTCAGAGTTGATGATGCCTTCCTTTAAAACGACGAAGTGCAATGAATTGTCTTGAGCGACTCAATGTATTGACGGTCTATAAACATTTCTATTACAAATAACCAGCAGGACAATAAGCACCCACAAAGAAGTGCCGACAAGAAGGAAATCTGCCTCCAGAAGTTGTTATGCAACAGCCTGCAGCAGTTGTGTGCCCAGAAGATGTTGGAGAGAATTGCTTTTGTGGACACTGATGCGACGCGTAGCGCCGGTTGTTGGTTCGCAGAGGGCAGAGCAGGGGGAGGACGAGCGGCCATCAGCAGCGATCAGCGTCATGTGAAAACAACCACGGCAGAGCTCTCTGCGTCACCTGCCTTCCACCTTCACCCTCTCGCGATTGCCAGCCAGCTGCTCTCCGGAGCAGTGAGCGACACCACTGCCTTCAGTGCTCCGAGGTCACCTCTTAAATCCCTGGGGCTTTGATTTTCTTCCTGCACGCGCCCATATCACCTGAACAATTTCACTTAGGGTCGTGCTTAGTTTAGCCTCATAAGCCAAATGCACTCGTGGCAGAGGAGTTGCCAGGTGAGGTTAGGGAAAGCTCTGGGTCTCTTGGGTGGGGAGGGCACTTTGCACCCACCGAAGGCCGACCCCTCCTCCAGTTGCTGTTTGCAGAGGGTGCGGGCAGGGGGGACGGGGTGGAGGACATCCGTATGGGGTCACTGTGATAGTTGGGACACAATTCTGAGGCTGAAGAGGTCAAACTGGGAGGAATTGCTTCTGCTTAGGGTGGGACTGAGTTGCTGAATGTGGAACCTAAGAACAAATTTTGCCTTTGGGTGTTGGCCCACGACCATCCCCGGTCTTGACAAATACCTAACGGCAGGATTTGGTTCCACGGCAGTGCCTGCCTTGCATTGGGAGGTAACTCGTCGGTGCTCTTCCTCAGCCGAGCTGCAGGTTGGGCCCAGCAACTTAGGAAACCGTCTTCAAGGGAACACGCAAGGGAATCGCTAGCTGTTTGCAGGCATTTCTTCCTTGGCAGCAGCTGCAGTCTGGAAAAGGTGGTTTTGCATGATGGCAATAAGAGCCAAGGACGTGTGCGCAGCGTTGTTGTGCTCAGTAAGACGGCACCCTTCTTCACCCAAAGATTTCCTGTTGCATTACAACAGCATTCTGCCATCCTCATATCTACTAGTGTGCCTTAGCTCTCTGGTCCCCCCTTACATCCCTCACCCTGTTTCTGCCAGGCCAGGGGGGTGGTGAAGAGAAGAATGGTGTCACAAAACCCTTTCACTCACATTAAAGATGCTCCCAATGCGTGAGCTCCCTTTTCCATGCAGTTTGCAGCTGGAGGAACGCGTGTGCCTCAGCACAGGCAGCACCTGCTTTGTAAAACACTGGGTCACAATTTTTAGGCTCGTGAAAATAGCGAACCTCACCAAAAGTTCAACTTTTAGAAAGGCGCTTCCCCTGGGAAGGCCTCGCTGTGCTCGGCAGCCCCAACACTTCTCCGCACTGAGACCTCTCCTTTTGCCTCCTCCGGGGGCGAAGGGCCTGCAGGATCTCAGGTGCACCTTCTCGACTCTGGAGCTGTCCTTTTACATGTTCACTTTATTTCAAAGCCTTAGTGCATTTCAGGGATAAGCTAATCCTAATCAGCGGAAGGAAAGTCCATATTTTTCCCCCCAGTTTTACATATGAAACTTCACATGCCTCTTCTCGGGAGGAGCAACTGCTTTGAGGAAATGCAGGGCCAGAGGTTTGGTATTAACTGTTTTATTCTCAGGAAGTGTGGAAATGGCAAATGAAATTCAAGTTTTGATGTGCACTTTGGAGCCGCTGGGCTGATGGTGATGAGCTGGAATACAGACCAGCGGGTTGATGTCTTCTTCTGACTTACTTAAGGCTAGTTTTAGGCTTGCCAGATGAGGAGGAAGGAAGACAGGAAGCTTTCTTGAGCTTGGAAATGGGTAGGGGAGTCTGCAAGAAGCATGACGGAGCACCAGGGGGAAGCGGAAGGTGAAATGGAGAGCCTCATGGTTCAGGTCCTTGGGGTTTGCATCTGTCTCCCTGCTGCTGGGTATGGTCCAGCCCCCTTGGTGTGGGTTGGAAACCAGAATCCAGGCAGTTCTTGCAGCAGCGTAGGGATATTCCTCTTGGGAATCTCATTTTAAAAGTGAGGAATGAGCTCCGGAAGCAGCTGCAAGAAGCTACAAACCTTGAAGCTACCTTCTGTTTTAGTCCGTAGGAGAGACTGTGTAAATAATAGTTAATTTTTTTCAAAAGCCATGGTGTTAAAACCACGAGCCAGGTGAGAGGCCCACGAAGGGTGAAGAAAGGTTGCCTGGTCAGGCCTCTTGAAAAGAATCGGGGAAAAGAAACATTTGCCATTAGGAACTGCCAACCCAGGAATCGAAGGAAAAGCCAGGGTGATGGCTGAGTCCCAGGAGGGAAGAAGGAGGCTATGGTAGCAAAGCAGCAGCATTTCCATGCAATATTTATTTAAAAAAAAATGTATGTTTAAATTGTCAAATGTTCTATTTTTAAGATGCCACTTATTTAATAGGTGAAAAAGGCCCACTTAGGTGGAGCTGCAGATCTCTTCTGTAACTGAAAGTCCAAGTTTGGCTGCAATGTCTTTGGTTTTGTTTTTGTCCTCTCTTCTCCCTCTTGGTTCCCATTATAAATCTGTACATCTTCAATTTAATTGGGGGAGTTGGGGGGCTATCTCCCTCTTGTAAATATTTTTCTGCCCTGTGTGTGATGATTTCCAAACTAATTGGTTCATGCATATGGGGTAATAAACAATAAATGAAGTCGCCTGTGCATCACAAGTCGTTGCGAGAGTCCTCGTGTTCTCAGCCTCGCGGGGAGAAATGGAAATGGCCTGTTCTCTCTCAATGGTCTCAGTGTTTCATTTCTGACTCAGGCTCCAGTATAAACCTCTGTTCAAGGAGTCGCTTGTTGGCTTTTATGTTTCCCCTTGGTGTTTGTTGCTTCTTGTGCTTTTGTTTAGGAGTGAGGAGGGGTGTGAATCTGGACGCCCATCGTGGCAGGAGAGTCACACCATGCAGGTGTCTGCCTTGTATCCTAGGGAAAGGGCTGTGGTGGGATGTTTTCCTCCAACTGGCAAAGCTTTGGGCGCTTTTTTTTTTTTTGTCGGAAAAAAAAAATTTTACAATTTAGTTTCACGTAATCTTAACAAGTTAAAGAAATAGGAATACAAGGCAGAAACTGTGATTGAAGGCTATGTCCGTGCCATGAAGGCATTGCAAGACGTGCTTGGAGGAGGAGGACCTGCTCGCCCTAGAGCTGGTTGCTCCAGTCCTAGTGAGGAGGAGAGGACTGACGGTCTCGAGGTCTCCTGAGAGGGGGGCATTTCTTTCCTGTAATGGCTCTGCCTCTCCTGGGCCATTTGAGGTGGTCTCTTGGCAATAGCCTTACGCTTCTCATTGGGGTGTTTTTCTACTTGTGTGTCAACAACTGTAGCTGTTCCTTCATAGGATGATTTTGCCCTTCTCTGTGCACTGTTGTGATAAAACTCATGTGTATAACTCGGGTCCTTTTTGCCACGTGCCTTGCACCTACGACTATTTGCTAACAAGGGCTGCATCTTTTGTTTTTATATAGTGAGTAAATTGTAGAGGATATTGAAACCTGTTTTAATACTCAATATGTTGCTGTTACAGACGTGTATAAAAACATACACTCTTTTTAGGTCAATGCACTTTTTCACTGCATGCTTAAAATCCTAATGACAATATTGGCATAGAGGGAAGAATAAAGGAAAGAAAATGTAGTTTTTCTAAAGGGAAATGGGAAACATCCCCAGGTGAGCAGCTGGTGTGATTTTAGGTACCAAAAAGACCTGTGGAGTCAGCTGGTGCATTTACTCCTGCCAGGTGGACCTGGGACTAACCCCACTGAAGATGGCTTATTGTTTCAAAGAGCAGGACGAGGCTAGCTGGGAGATTCACAGAGGGAACGAGTAAGACCGTGTGAATACTGCTTCCACCTCAACTCTGCACGCCCAGGGTGCGTGGGTTAAACGCGCCAGGAGTTTGGTTCTTGTTTTCGTGGAGTGAGCCGGGCAGCTGAAACGGGCTTCCTACGGGAAGCTTTTTCTTCAGAGCTCCTTGGCATCCCCTGTTGCACCATTTCCTGCTCTCCCGGCTTCCGCCGTAGCCTCCCAAAGGTTTCCTTTCCACACTCCACATCAGGCTGGATGGAGACACAGCGCATGGGTAGGGAAACGGCCCCACTGCCACACAGGGGTGCGGGCAGCGTCGGAGGGCCTGGGGGTGGCAGCCAACATTGGGTAAATATTTTGGGGTGGTTTTCCATTAATGTTTGTTGATGACCTGTATTATTGACCAAACCTAATTTTGAAATGACCTCTAATTGAGTTTGAGGCTTTTGTTATCCATTAGTTTTCTTTCTCACTTGGACTTTGCTAATCTTTTTCAATGACAAATATTATTTCCAGGCAAGCAGCTGCCTTACAGGTGATTGCAGCTGCTCAGTCCTGTGCTGGTCTGCAAACCCCACAATCTCTCTTTGGCAGCCTCTGCTTTCTTTCCTTTACCTGCACTATTAGGAACCGCTGTCACTACCCGACATCAGCAGTATTCTTAGGCCACCATCAGCATTGCTGAATGTGTCTACTAAACTCCCTGTGTTTCCTGAAATAAGGTGATATATGCCTTACACCCACACTGTGCTGTTGGGTTTGGCCATGTGCTCTTTAAATGTGCCTGGTTCCTGGTGTTCACCGGGAGTTTTTGCTCTGCTGCTCGGTGTTGCTGAGGTTTTCTTTGGGTCCAAAATCTGTAGTCCTTCTCTCCTGCGGAATAACGTGCCGGTTCTGGCTCCCTCAGCAGTTCCTCACCCACAATAGGAATCATCATGTCCCC